CCTGCCTCTGCAGAACCGAGCCGCTCCGCCCGTGGGCTCCTGCGGCTCATTAGCTAGTGGGGCTGCTCCCTGTGTTAGCCGGTTCCATCCTGCCCTGAGCACTGAGGAGCCCTGCAGCCCGTCCGCAGCCAGACGAGACTCAGCAGGTTTATGGCTTCTCCGGGACACAGCGCAGAGCAGACTTGTCAGCACAGGAACCAGAAGCTGCCAGGACCATCCATCTTGGGAAGAGGGGGGCCCCAGAGCCCTGGTCCCATCTCTGCCCCCCAAGCCAGCCAGACTCCCTCACACCCCCAGCAGCCTACCTCTGTCTCCAGCCTCGCCTCCCCTTTGGTCACCTTGCCACACCCCGCCCAGGCTCGGGTTACAGGGAGCCTGGCCGTTGTGTGTGTGACCGGCTGAGCATCCTCCCTCAGTGAGTCACACCCGAAATGCCCATCCCCTGCTAGACAGTAGAGCAGTGCCCAGGGAAACTGAGGCACACGTAGGGGCTTGCGACAGGACAGTAGAACTCACATGCAGCAGAACAAGGCAAACAGAGCGAGCACCATCCCCACGGCATCACAGACACGGCAGTGGGGGCCCACAGAAGTATCCCAAAGCCGCCTCTCTCCAGGCTTTGGGAAAAACCTTCCCCCCAAAATCTTAACAACCTAGATTTTGGGGATTAAAAACTCCGCTGCCAGCACCCAAGTAATAATAAAGAAACCAGGGAGGGACCACCTGGGAAATCTCACCCCCTACAATAAAACCAGGACACACAAATTAACCACTGCCAGGTGAATAAAAGAAAAGAGAAAGAACTTTTATTGTCACCCCAATATTCCTGTTGCCAGCACCACGCCTAGAGGGAACAGTCACAAAGGAAAATACTCCTGGAGAGGGACCCACCGCGGGCTAAACTGAGTTACAAAAGAGAGCAGGGCCCATTTCTAAAGCACAGACGTCAGATTCCCAAACCATAAAACAACGAAAGGGAACGTTACCCTGCGCACAGGAGAGCGAAGAGCCTGTTCTTGGAGGGAGACGTTCTGCCTGAGAAACTCCCCACAGACAAAGGAGGGAAACCCCAAATTCCCAGTTTGAAATTCCTACCTACATTCCTATTGGCCAACTCTACCTGGGTTAGGTATGTTAACCCCTTAGTCCCCAGGCTGCTGGCTACCCCCATGATCATGACAAGGGGGTGGGGGTGGTTGCTCTCCTGCTCCCTGGCAGCGGAGGAAGGGCTGCTCTGCCCTCCCCCTCCCTCCCGCCTCTCGGGGCTGCGGGCGTCTGACCGCGCTGCTCGGCTCTGTCCTTCCAGTTCATCCTCTTCTACATCTTCCTGGAGATGTACACCACCCCCCTGCACTACGGCGCCTACACCTACCCCCGCTGGGGCAAGGCCCTGGGCATCTGCATGGGCACCGTGACCTGCCTCCAGATCCCCCTCTGGGCGGGCGTGGCCATCTACCGGGAGTCGGGGACGCTGACTGACGTGAGTGCGGGGCCGTTGGGCTCAGGGAGGGACCCACCTCTGCCATCCAGCTCCCACACGGCTGGGGGCATGGCCAGGAGCTGGGGCGCTGGGA